TGTTAAATAAAAGAAAAGTTCACAGTCAAACAACAAGACCGAACTGCTATCATCGCCTGTGTCGAAGAAACACCCTCTTCAGGCTGTGTAAAAAAGTTGTGTCTATCAGGGATCGAACCTGAGACCTTCCGCTTGTAAAGCGAACGTGATAACCGCTACACCACAGACACCTACCAGAGAACTGCGGAACGACATTTCTTCTTCTACAACTAATCCTGAATCGTATTGAAAACTGATTTTCTACTTTCGGATCTACCGACGTTATCGGATAACTTCAGACGTAATCGGACAGTTCTATTGGATATTTTCGTAAACATTCAAGCAGGCAGAAATAGCGGAAAGATGTCTGTAATCGTCGCACGCCAGAAAACGAATGCGAGATGTTTTTCTGTGAAAACGACAACGCGATTTATTCGTTGGAAATCACATTACCAGAAGATAAGACGAGCAAACGAATTTGCGAGTTAAATTTGCGATGAATCGCCATTGCCGAAGAGAAAACAAAATTCATCGGACGTGTGGTCTGGTTGTCGTGATGTTAATGAGTTTCCATCTTGAGAGGAAGAAAGAGTTTGTAAGAAAAGTGCCGGATTAACTACTGAATTTGAAATTAGCACAAGTTTGAATTAAATATTTAAGCGGACTTGGAAAAGTACCGTGGTCGAGACTGTCGAGTGCTTGTAGTGTAGTGGTTATCACGTCCGCTTTACACGCGAAAGGTCCCAGGGTCGAAACCTTCCCTTTTTTTTATCGTTTTGTTTGATCGATTGCGGTGCTTGCCAGGTTTCGAACTGGGACCATCAGCGTGTAAAGCAAACGTGATAATCTCAACTCGTTCTCAATTTCATTTCCGTTTGGTTGGAATTTCCTTTCCTCGCTCCGCGATTGGTCTCTTATCTGTCTGAAGGTAGAATTTGAGACCAAGTTAGGTAGCGAGAAAGATCTGCCCTAAACGGTTTATCCCACATCATCCTCTACACTCTAATCATGATTTGTCGATGATTAAAACACCTGCGCTCATATTGCGTCTCATCGCTCCCTTTTTCTTATCGCGTTTTAAATTTTAAACCTTTTTTCTTCCTTTATTCTAAATATTGTTTTCTTCTATTCTTTATGAGAGACGATGTCAAAGTCCGGTGTCACCGTCTCGACACTTATGTTGCTTGTTTTCTCCATAAGTTAATTTAATAAATACACATTTCCGTTTTAATTATGGACTGTTTTCGGGACCCAACCTCATCGAAACACGTGATCTGTGATAGATAGAAACGTGATTCGAAAGCACAGTTGCATAATAATGTGCCGCATGTCGATCGAGCAAAGCGACAAAAATCTTCAAAACTTGCTTGCCAGGTTTCGAACCTGGGACCTTCCGCGTGTGAAACGGATGTGATAACCACTACACTACAAGAACTCAGCAGACTAGATCACGAAACTTTTCTAAGAGTGCTTAAATCGTTGCTCTAACTTCAATTGCAGCAGTTTTCTTACAAAATCCTCGTTATTCTCACAATGGCGATTCCACGGAAATTTAATTCGCAAAGTCCTTATCTTCTGGTAACGTGATTTTCTACGACGAAATTACTTCGCCGTTTTCACAGAAAAACATCTTGCATTGGTTTTCTGGCATGCCACGATTATAAACAACTTTCTGCTCTTGTCGCTTGCTTGAATGTTTACGAAAATCGCCATTGAAAGTGTCCGATTACGTCTGAAGGAGTAAAATCAAACAGTTTTGAATACGACCCAGGATCGGTATAATAAGAAAAAATGCCATTCCGCATTTTCTGGTAGGTGTCTGCAGTGTAGTGGTTATCACGTCCGCTTTACACGCGGAAGGTCTCAAGTTTGGTTCCTGGCAGACACACACTCGTTTTTTCTTTGTGCCCGTTAAGCCACACCTCCTTACATTTTGTTTTCAACGTGTCTATTTTCCTCATTCGATAGTTATCTTATTTCGCTTTTTATGTCCGTATGGTTTTTGCCCACGCCTGAACGCAATCCGAAAAAGTGCAATATCGCAAGGACAGGATCGTCCAAGATAAGAGTGATAAGTTTTGAATGTAATTTTTGTTGGTTTTTTCAAAATCTTATTCTCCAGTGTCTTCGAGTTTGTATACATAACATCAAAATGTCGTATATAATATAATACATTACGTTGTTTTTTTTCTTAACATTTCACTGCATAGCATTTTTTAAATGGTGTAAAGAAAAAATTGTTTGTTAAGTTGTTAAAATTATCGATAATGAGCCTAGATTAGTCCCATTAATAATAAAAAGGAAATCCTCATTTTATCATTAATTTTGTTACTTTTTATTATTATTATATTTTTATGTTTACGAATTATGAATTCAACACTCTGGAATAATTTTCATTCGTTAAACTTTACTAATTAAACGCGTTAAGTAAATTCTTAATGTATTCATTAATTCAGAATATACAGTAATTTTATTGTTTTTCCTCTCATTTTTCATCTTAATACTTTATTATAATTAAACATAAAAATATTTTCTTTCTTAATATTCAGTTTAATAAAATATTCTATTCTATAAACCTTCTGAATAGATTTCAATCTAGAGATTAAAGCCTTTTATATGACATTTAAAGTAGTTTAATGAATTACAATTTACAATTGTTGTCGTATTTTTGTTTTTATTATTTTTAGAAATTTTCACTGAGGACGGGTTTGGATGTATTGCATTTTTGCCATTTTTGAGAATAAAATTGTAGTTCTTGACTGAAAATTTGCTGTCAGTCCGTCTACCATTTGTTGAATTACAGATACGTATTACATAGAGATCTAATATACAGCAATCCAGCTATATATTAATTCTTATGTAGAAATAACTTCGTACTTGAATATTTGTAGTATTGGGAGACAAATTTTTATGACAACGAATATTTAAGGAAAATAAATTTTAAAGCTTTTTTGTACCTTGTGCATCTCGTTCATTAAATTTAGTTGTAGGCCTAAATGATGCTACCAAAGTAACAGTTAATTTTTCAACATTGTACAATGTTAAAAAAGTTTTTTGAAAAACAAGAAAATTTAATAATTTAAAATTGTATTTCAATGAACCATCTTGCCCCACCCGTGAGATAAGATGGAAATATTATTTTTACATACAAGAAGCACAAATTACAATGGTTAAACTGTCGTTTTCTTCAATATTGGCACAAGAACAGTGTGCCCATTTATCACAACGGATACATTTAGCCCAACTCTCTGTAGATACAGAGTATAACCCTCCACAATAGAGGCATTCTGTGTCATTTGTCTTTTGTTTCTTGTTAGACCTACCCTTGCTGAAGGGGCCCGTTTGTCGTCTCTTCAGCAATAAAGCCTGCCTCCGAAAATACTTCTGGATTCATCGGCCATATTCATGGTCAACCTGGGGTTAGACTTAGACGGGTACCCCATCTTGCCCTCAACGTACACTTTTCATACTGACTGCAAACACGGGTAAACTTCATTTCAAAACTAAACAATTACAGTCTTAGAGGTTACTTCGAATACCATAATATCTTCATCTGAAAGGTAATGTAAAAGTTCGCAATGATACTTACTTTGTAGAAACTTTTTAGCAGGTGTAAAATTAGATGAAGTACTGTATTGCTGAAACATGAAAAACGTTCTTACTTCCAAATAAAGAGAGCTATTTGAACGTTCTCTCGCTCCATGATCCATTTCGAAGTAGACATTTAGTTCCTCAAATAACAGCTAGATAATAGCTCATTAACCAAAAATGAAAAGACGTCCCCGTCTTACCCCATGACCCCATCTTGCACCACCTTCCCATATATATATTCCGCTACAGAGATTTTCTGTTAGTCGAACTCCTCGTAGATTTCTTGGCGAGTTTGAACGAATTAAGTGTCGATAGATAGGGATGGGTCTTCAGATGTGCAATAAACCTTTTGTTTTAGAATCTTATGATCCGTTCCGGAGATATTCCAAAAATTCCTAATCATTTCGTATGGAGTCGATAAAAATTTTTTGCAAGAATTTAGTATTGCGTTTACCGACCAGCCATCTCTGTATGCAGTTGACGAAAAATACAGTGGTCTTGATCATTCCAAACTTGTATGTCATTATTCCTTTCTTAACCAGAAGGGCTTGGGTTTTATTGAATTTATCCTGCTGCTCTGAGGAACTGGGATCCGGACGGGTCGATAAAGCCTCAGGAATTTTTCAGGTGGTGGTCAGTCCGGATATGTCGGGCCCCATGCTTCACCATTCTTCCGCCCCGTTGTGGTCCTGCCGGAATCCATAATGGGCTTACTAAAACATGGCCGGCCCACCAGTGGCCAAGCGGTTACGTTCCCCGAATACTGGGAGTTCGGTCGTGGATTTGCGCCTGGCCGGGACGGGATGGTTACGTGGAGTTTTCCGGGTTTTCTCCACGTCTGTAACGCCTAAGTAGAAGCCAATTACCCTTAAAACACCTGATCGCCCAAGTGTTGCGTTGCCGTAATTTAACAAACAACAACGATAAAACATGCCCTTTTAGTATCTACGGGCGGGGAGTTTTATAAAAGTCCACACGACAAGTAACTTTTAATAGATATTAAATTTCAAATAAACTTTTTCCATTCAATGCCTTATCCCGTGAATTGCTTTATTACGAAAATCGGATCGTATTAAAGAGATGAATTACGTGATACGAAACATAACGTCATTGCTGTATCACGTGACGGCTCCAAACTCCATTATATATGCACCCCAGATGAAAATTTCAGCGAATTTTTCCCTATAGAAAAACTTTGGAACTAAACTTTTTATTTACAAAATTAAAATTTCACGGTCAAAAGTATGAGTGTGAAATTTGATTTCTTTTAACTGTCCGCCCCGTGAGACAAACTCGTGCAATGATCCGTCAAAATCACTCTCTTTAGAAAGACAGACACGGAAATGACGAAATTGGCCGCAAAATGCAAACTTTTAACATTAAATCGAGTCACTATGCAACAATAAAATTTTCTCGTTGTTGAGAGAGAATCTATTGTTTGCTCGTGCGATTGTTTAATGCGAGTGCTTTTTCTAGTTTTGCTTCGTTTGCAGAGATTGTTTAAAGTGATGTAAGTTTACACTATGATTTTTGTAGATTTAAGTACTCTTTAACTTTGATCAGCAAAATATCACAGTTGGTGGCGATGGGTTTCGATAAGAATTGATCGGTTTCCTTCGGAGGATTCGCATCTTTCCATTGTTAATTTTCCAATGGAATTGGAAAATTAACAATGGAAAGCCTAAAGTAAAATAAAAATTAATAAATAGCCTACTTTTAAATCTGTTATTCCCCGCTATAGTTTATGAATTGCATACGTATATATATTAATATCCCATATGAATCTCGTCTGAATCTTAATTAATTAAAATAATTCGAGTTCATTCCTCTATTTTCGCAGTTGTTTTGTGTTACCGCAGTCAACAGAATAGTACAGTTTTTATAAACTAATTCCTCTATCGAACATTAAAAATCGTCGAAAAAACTAAAATTATTATATATATAATATTATTCTTTTCTAACAGGAATTATTCATTTTTACATTAGAAATTTACAATTCAGATTAGAATAGGAATATTTCTCAATTAATTCTCTCATTTTCCTTTGCAGAATGGAGAATTTCAGAGAGTTGAAGTTGCGCATCTCGGACAATGCAGAGTCCGAGGATGACGCCTGGTCTTGGCCAGGTGTCATAAGGGTGCTTCCGAAGGATGCGGAGGAGAAGTGTCATAAACCGGACGTCAAACGGGTGGTGGTCGTAACTCCGGACGACACCGCCTCGTCTCTCGTCCAATATCTGGAAAGGCGATATCCGGAGGTTCCGGAATGGACGGTGGAGACACCGTCGGGTGAGACCGGAGTGGACAGAAAGGAGTCCGAAGAGTCCGCCGAGCGTAAAAGGCCTTGGTGGAAAAGGTTGTTTTGCTGCTGGAAGACATAAATCTCTTTTCTGGCCAGGCCTTCTTGCGCAGATTTCGACTTTTCACCGAATGTAACATCGCCATTCGGAAGTGACCTTACACCCAAATATGACACTCACCAGGAATTGACCTTTCATCCGGCTACGACTTAATCGACTGGACTTGACTTTTCATCCCAATTTACGGACGGATACTTCGACACCATTGGAGATTCGGTTAAAAGCATAGAACAACAACAGTGACATCAAGCAGTGTTCTCGTGTTTAATTAAAGACTGTTTAATCGGCTATAACTGGCCAAAACGACTTACATCCTACAGGCATTTACACAGTATTTCATCCGCTAAAAACTTTCGCCGCCAAATAACGAATATTCGCCACTAAAAGGCATACCAGACGAATTTAAATAAAGCCAAAAATACACGTACTCGCTTTGTGTACTCCACAATCATAATTTTTTCAACAATTAAATTTGTACATAAATTTTTATATTTAATAAAAGAAATTAAATTTTATATTAAATGTTTACAGATTCGATATTTATTAAAGTCGCGCATTTTTCGAAGAATTTATAATTAATAGTAATGTTTATAACAGTTATGACGGATGACGAAAACATAAAAAATGTGCCTGATTCATAACGAAAGAAAAATATTTAAATTTAATGAACCAAATATAATTTGAAACAGTTGGAAGTTTGTAGTAAAACAATGGCATGAAAGATGAAATCACATTATATTTTATTTCATAAAAATAAAAGAAAAGTTTACAAGTTTAACGAAATATTCAGTCCCAAGGCCCCTTATATATTTTAATACCTTTTTAAGTGGGGCTATAGCGCATTAATTCCGAATCTGAAGGAGAAGTTCTTCCGGGGGGTGGCGAAAGAACCGATCGTAAAGATCGGGTTTGATCAAGCAATATAGAACCAATCCTACAAATACCATTACAGAACGTACAGATTAAATACGATTGATACAACCATGTGCACTTCTACTGCCATATTTCTGTAAAAAAAAAATAAATAAATCAATTAATAACCTAAGTATACTACATTTAAAACAGAATAGAAAAATCGAAAAATATCATTTAAAATTCAAGTGTTTTTCTATACGCAATAGTTGGATAAGGCAATGATCTACCAATGGGTATTGCGTGCCAGGACTTTCTATAGGAAACTAGCCACTATTTTGGTATTAGACAAGTGAACTCCACGTGGTGAGGTGCAAACCCGGGACCGCAAACTGAATGAAAAAGTTCGATGAGGAATTTTTAACATCTCTTACACGGTGCCATCTGCCTCAAAATATAGATCGATTGCGTTGTGGTCCTCCTGAGATTTTATTTTATCCCGAGGTGTAATAGAAAATGAATTGTAAAAAGACGGGTAATTGGGATTATATTATAAATCTAAAATGTGGCATGTTTAATTCGAGTTTGTACTGAAGGAACATTGATGACATTCGGATAGTATTTCAGAAGCGTGTGTAATTTTTTTGTCCATCATTGTCTTTAACGTGTTCCTTACGAGTTACTTCTGTTGACCAGATGATGCAGGAGAGTGCATATGAGATTGCAATAGGATGTGACGTGTCTTCTCTTCGAAATTCCCACGCAATTGAAAAATACGATAAACTAGACAAATTCATTTAGAGTTTTTTATCTTGTTTTTTTTTAATTGCACGATAAATAAGATCGGCATTCTCAGCCGATAAGCAAAGACAGTAGGTCATTGTACGCATTGTTTTATAATCATGCGATGGAAATAATTCAACAAATATTAATTAAATCGCTTTATCAGTCTTCAATTACACGTGAATGTCGAAAGATATTTACATTATACTAAAAAATATGAAATAATAAAGGAATGATAATATAAAGTATTCTATAAGCATTGTTTTGAAATAAGCGTATCTGCAATTGAAAAACCCAATAGATTTATATTTCGGGTAGTACGTTCAGCATCTGATCAGAGAAACTTGAACGGATTACGGTGTGGCCGTTATGTATAATAACTAAATTTACCAAGTCTGATTTTTATGATGATAATGGGATTGTAGCTGGACCCAATTTATAGCCGTCCAATTCGTAACCAAGAAATAAGCATAATCGTTTAACTCATTGATTGCACTATTATGCTGTTTTGTCGTGTATAACAGCTAGAGAGGTTATTTTTATAACATAATATTCCAGATATAAATACTTTTTAAAGCATATGATAATTTTACCCCAGATGTCTTCTCCAGTTGAGTGTTTTCGTCGCTTATAAGTCGTTAAAATGGAATTGTCACATTAAAAAGGATATTCTCCCGAGTGTTATCTTTTATGAATTTGTAAGGCATATTTTGTATGACTTCTCTTCGGGCAACAGTCACATTTATATTTTTCTATATCTTTGTATCTTGGTGCAAGCTAATACATAAAATTGTTTTAAAAATGTTACAATTATACATGGCATGTAAAAGTTTAGATGAGAATTAAAAATATTGTTTTGAAACTACACAAGGAAAGTATTAATATATTACTTAGAACAAATTAATCATGCTTATATAAACTAAAATAATTGTTTATACTTTTGATTACAACAATATTCATTTTGAGAGAAAAAGACACATGAAAATCAAACATCATACAATTACGTTGTTAACTTGCAATAAAAAGTAATTTTTTTAATAGAACGGATGTAAATAATGAATACTTTATAATAGTATAATGTATAAACATAAAATGTATACACGGAATCTCATTGTTTGCTGAAAAAAATTGTGCAAAGTGATATAATATTGAAAAAATTGACGAAATACTTAGTTTTGAGACAATAAAATTTTTATAAATGTGCTGGCAGTATTATATATCGTGGTATTATCCTAGGAACATTTCATGTAGCGTTTAATTCACTTTTAGAGAAAGTCTATGAAGTCGAACGTACTTCTACACCGCTCCTATGTGTATATTTTTCTGTTTCTTTTAGTAATGCAGTTTTTCAGTTTACCAGGCTACTATACTGCACAAACTACAATCAGAATTCTAGTAAATAAAGCAACAAAACAAAGTGAAAATCTATGATAAATACAAGTGACTCGACTAATTGCCGTACTGAAGTGTTCTAAAATATTTTATGAAATTGTTCTTTTGCCATTTATTAGGTTAAAAGTTAGCAAAAATGTATCGAAATACATACCTCTTGAAGTGATAATTGTTTATAATATTTTATATACACGTTAACCGAGTACGAGTACCTACGACCACGAGTACCTACGTCCGACGCATTTATTTTCTCTTCGATAGTAGCGTTTCCTCGCAGATCCAACTTGCAAAGTCGTTTTCTAATCTTATCCTCTGATAACGTGATTTTCAATTATTAAGTTGCTTCGCCGTTTCAACAGAAAAACAACTCGCATTCGTTTTCGGGCGCTGGACGCAAACATCTTTCTGGTTTCTCCGCCTGCTTGAATTTTTATGAAAATTTCCACTCAAACTGTCCGATAACGTCAGCAAATTTAGAAGAAAAATCAAAGTTTTGATTACGACCCAAGATCTGTTCAAGAAGAAGAAATGTCGTTTCGCCTTTTTCGGCAGGTATCTGTGGTGTAGCGGTTATTACGTCCGCTTTACTCGTGGAAGTTCTCAGGTTCGATTCCTAGCAGACACACGCTCATTTTTTGTTTGTGACCTAAGCCACACATTCCCTAATTATTTTTTGTTTCCTTCTTTGCTTTCTCTTGCATTTCAACGTGCTCGTTTTCTTCGTCCCAGACTTATCTTCTGTTTTTTCTCTCCGTATGGTTTTTTCGCCCACGCCTAAACACGATACAAAAAACAGTCATACCCCAAGGACAGGAACGTCACAATACGTATCAGCAAATATCGTGCTTCAGTGAAATGTGACACTATATCAGAAAGCGAATGCACTTTATTCTTTATGCGGGACAATTGTATTGCAATCTGTAGGAGACTTTTTTTTAACATATCGGGTCGTGCATGCAAGATTAAACTTTCACTGCATAATACACGTTATCGACGAACGTAGACATGAACCATTTATTGATCCCTTTCGCCTGTTGTCTGTAGTGTAGTTTATCGGCTGCATTCTGCAGCTATTAAGCAGGGTGTTTTTCATCATTAGTACGCGTATATCTTGACGCAAGACCATCACAGATTCTTTATTCGAAAGGTAATGGGCCTTGGAAAATGAATAGTTTTTAAGAAACTCAGTTAATCTTTAGTAAATCGTTTGTGTTTATCATCGATTACCGAAAATATTGGTAATGGATGATGTCGGAGATAGTTCGACATGACGAATATTCCCTACTGTCAAAGAAAATAAAAATCGAAGAAAAGTCTTTTTGCACGAGTTACACCAAATAGAATCGAGACAATGTCGGCAATTACTGTCTCTTCAGTTCTGCGAGTCCGTTGAGTTTATACATAATCCGTTGGACTACGCATCGTATGTATCATAGCAAGTATACTTGTGAACCCAAGCGAATTCTTTTACTCGAAATAAATCCAGGACAGTTTGGAACGGCTCAAAACATAGTTCAATTAGGAGAAATATCCACTTTCTTCAAGTACAGTTTTGTTCATAATTATTGCCCACTTTCTTTCTTATTCAAAACACGTAAAATTATCACCCCTCCTCAGTCAGCACACGTAGTGACTCGCAATATGCGATGAAGCAGTGAATTTGCTGAATGTAATAATATTAACTGCTGTAGGTAAATATATTGAAGTGAGAGAAAAAATTGCTCTCAGGAGAATAAGTGAGATAAAAAATCAAATTTCTAAACTATAACTTATTACATATGATATTTGTTAATTTTACAAAATATAAAAATTGTTTATTGTTACAGTAACAATTAATGTTTTAATATTGTTAGACGATTCATTATCGTTGCTATTTGCGGAGCGATTGAAAAAGATATTTTTCTGAAATAATTGCTAAAGTTTAACATTATGAAGATATTCATAATTTTTCTGTTTATATTAAAATTTTTCAAATTATCGGATGATTCGAAAGGAATTTCACTACTCAAATATGACCATAATTACCCAGCGGAGAAATTGGAGAATGCAGAAGCTTCGATTCCGTCCGAGAAACAGGATGAAATCAGAAATTTCATCACGAAATACCGGACTATTTCAAATACACCGAAAGAGACTTCGAAACAAACCTACATTCGAGCCAGGTACAATAATTATCCACGAAAAGGAGAAGCAAAGAAAAAAAGTCCCCATCTATCCAAAATTCCTTCTATGTCCAAAAAGCTTTTCTCTCACTTCGATGTTGAGCCGGGTGACAAAACGACACTCAAAAGCACACCACACAGAATATCGAATAAAAGGTCTGCAAAAGCCAGGCGAAAATGGCAAATTTTAAAACAATTATACAAAAGATATGGATTGAGTGAACCAGACAAGCTGGATACTAAAACAACCGATCCTTTACAGAGGATTTTCAATAAAATCACTGTTGGAAATTCGCTTCATACACAGAACAAACACTACTCCACATTTGATATCCAGAAACATTACGAAAAGAAAGTTAGAAAATACAAAGATTTGAATGACGAACATCGAACATTAAAAAACAAAGCATCTGTAAACGGTACTGACACAAGTTTTAGAATCGACAAAAAGGATTTCAACTTCAAATTTTCCTGGATTGTCAAACTTAAAATAATTTCCTACATCACTACTTTCTACGCCACACTTCTAACGGTTTGCGTCGTCATAATCGTTATAGTAAAAGTAATTCAATGGTACGATCGAGAAGATGAAATAGAAATAAAAAGTCGTGCATTACCGGCCACCAAGAAAAAAATCCTAGCCGCATTAGAAGAAAAAAACGATTTTCTAATACCGCTTCTGAGTATTCACGAGGAACTTGCTTTATCTGAGAATAACCGTTCTCGTCCAAATAAATATAAACACGATAAAGAAACACAAGTGGAAGAAGAATTTATCTTTTCCGAATATCCGGCAAAAGTCAGATTTGAAGACGAAACGAAGCCGCCAAAAGTAACTAATACACTTCCAACTACCAACATTTCACACCCAGGAATGTTACCAGAAGAAGTCGAGTGCGAAATGGATCTCAGACAACCCGACTTGAATCTAATACAATGTTCAAAGGAATGTCTTGGATCTGGAGACGAGAAAAACTCCAAGGAATATTTACATGTGGACCACTCGAACAACAACTCGAGTGATTTCTGCGTAAAATTATTTCCAAAGTACGACGAAATCTCAGCGTTTGACGAACTTCGACAAATTCTTTTACTCATTTTCAGAAGATAATATTATTTATCATCCCCATTGTGTCACTTTATTCTTTATGCGGGACAATTGTATTGCANCACACTAAAAAATAAATTTTATCCAGATATAAATTTGAAGTCACAAGTAGACTGGAAGTACTGTACAGTACAAAGCTATTTCTTCTACTCGTAGAAGAAAACGTTAATATATTATTAGGTAATAGTATTTCATTAAGTTATAAGAACATATTATTGACTTTATAACAGAGTACCCAAATGTCAGGAATGTTAATTACCATAATAGGAAAGACAACCAAATCTAGGAGAAACTGAAGAGGATTGCGTAACAAAAAGAATGAAATAAATGAGATTAAAGCAAGCTAGGAAAGTGAACAGAATGCTTTTGATGTATTAGCTGCAGCAGTGTAAATTCTTCAAAATTATTTAGCGAAGAAGAGGAATTTAATTCTATACACAGATTTACTTTCATATTCATCCTCACTTTTTTCTTTAATACAGTAAATTTTAATACGAAGGGATAACATTTTATTTTTAGAAAAATATATTAAATTCGAAGATTGTATTGAGTGTTAAGCAAATGCAAACTTTCGACATTTCTGTACAAATCGTACAGATTATATTGGGAAAGGTGTCGTTATTGAAACGAAGCATATAAGTCATCATTTAAATTAATTAATAACATTAAATGTGAGTGCGGCTTGCGGCCCTAGGTACCCGCTGCGTTAGGGTCTTGGTGGAACGAAAGAAATGCACCGATCGATTTTATCAATCAGATTTTGCTTGCGTTACTCACTCGTACGCCATCAATTCAAAAATTTTTAAAACGCGTGGAAATGCCTTTTGCAGCATATAGAGAGAGAATACTTTACATCACCTCAGAGAAATGATCATGAAATTCTAGCTGTTCTAGCTCCGTGGAAGTTTTCGCATTCCAAGGTGGAGACGACGTTGTGCGTTCGTGAACAGTGCCACAGGAATTTGACAGTTACTGTCTAACACGAAATGCCCGGTCAAAATGTGCCACCCGTTTAAGTTTGTAAAACACTTTCGTTCGGTACCGCAGCAGCAAAGGCTCCACACCGAGTCAATCATTACCCGTTAAACAAACTAATAAAAGAAAAGTTTACTTTTAAAGAAAAAACCGAACTATTATTGCCTGCGTCGAAGAAACATCCTCTTCAGGCTGTCTAAAAAGGTTGTGTCTGTCAGGGATCGAACCTGAGACCTTCCGCGTGTAAAGCAGACGTGATAACCGCTACACCACAGACACCTCCCATAGAACTGCGGAACGGCATTTCTTCTTCTACAACTAATCCTGAATCGTATTCAAAACTGATTTTCTTCTTTCGGATCTACCGACGTTATCGGATAGCTTCAGTCGAGGGAAACGTCGAAAGAATTTCATAAGCATTCAAGCAAACGGTGAGAGCGGAGAGGTCTTTGCCAACGTCGCACGCCAGAAAACGAATGCAAGTTGTTCCTCTGCGAAAACGGCGAAGCAATTTGGTGAGTGAAAATTTCGTAACCGAAGGATAAAATGAGCTTACGACTTTGCCAGTTTGATCTGCCAAGAATCGCCATTGTCGAAGAGAAAACAATGTAACGGACGTGACAACTGGTGGTCGTGAGGTTTCCATGATGAGAGGAATGAGGATTTTGTGAGAAAAGTGCCGGATTCCCTCCAGGACTTGATATTAGAATATACACGATCTAAATATTTAAGCGGACATAGAAAAGTTCCGTAATCGCGACTGTCGGGTGCTTGTGGTGTAGTGGTTATCACGTCCGCTTCACACGCGGAAAGTCCCAGGTTCGAAACCTGGCAAGCACAGATTCAAAGTTTTTTGTCGTTTTGCTCGTTCGAAATTCGGCACCGCTTTATGCGACTGTAATATCGAGTCACGTTTCTATCTATCGCAGATCACGTGTTTGGATTAGAACGAAGAAGAAATTGTTTTCAATGGTGAAATAAAGTATTAAAAAGTTATTGATAANGCGATGAAGCAGTGAATTTGCTGAATGTAATAATATTAACTGCTGTAGGTAAATATATTAAAGTAAGAGAAAAAATTGCTCTCAGGAGAATAAGTGAGATAAAAAATCAAATTTCTAAACTATAACTTATTACATATGTTTTTTGTCGTTTTGCTCGTTCGAAATTCGGCACCGCTTTATGCGACTGTAATATCGAATCACGTTTCTATCTATCGCAGATCACGTGTTTGGATTAGAACGAAGAAGAAATTGTTTTCAATGGTGAAATAAAGTATTAAAAAGTTATTGATAAGATTGTGCAGCGAGAATCAGATTACAGAAGGAACGTAGGTTCGCTGCTTGGCTGTATTTGACGAAAAACTGAAAGGTCTGCATGATTCTACGTCTATTTTTCCAGTTGTCTTCAAAGTTTCTTCAACTTCAATTATCTAGTTTTCTACTTTTTGAAGAAATATCCCAACGCTTCTTTTATTATTCTATAACCTTATTACTTTAGTTTTTAAAACACGAACGCCATATATGCAATACTTTAATAAATTTAATTGTTTACCTTTACCAAAAAATAATGATATTTGTTAATTTTACAAAATATAAAAATTGTTTATTGTTACAGTAACAATTAATGTTTTAATATTGTTAGACGATTCATTATCGTTGCTATTTGCGGAGCGATTGAAAAAGATATTTTTCTGAAATAATTGCTAAAGTTTAACATTATGAAGATNAAGTTTCTTCAACTTCAATTATCTAGTTTTCTACTTTTTGAAGAAATATCCCAACGCTTCTTTTCTTATTCTATAACCTTATTACTTTAGTTTTTAAAACACGAACGCCATATATGCAATACTTTAATAAATTTAATTGTTTACCTTTACCAAAAAATAACAACAAACATTTAAGATAATTAGATTTTTTTCTACTTCTAACCCTTATATTATATTATAGTACAGTAGAACCTCGATTATCCGGACTAATTGGGAATGAAGGTAGTCCGGATAAGGAAAAATCCGGATAATCGAACAAATACTTTGTCTTTTAATGATAATACAACACGTTTTCTTTTCGATGACATATCGGTAATATTAAAAGTAAATACTGTATTTAAATCGTGATCAAATTTTCAAGAAACAAACGTTCGTATTGAATTTGTACTACCACCGACCAACGCTAACAGACTACCTATTGTTTAAAAGGCCCTCTGGTGGCGCGAGAAGACGGATTTTATAAAATAAAAGCAGCTGAAACTGCATTTTTATGAATAAAATTTGACAAACTATTTATAATTTTATGACGAGTAAAATTTTTTCGTCGCGTTCGCGGCTTTTAAGTAATGCGTAAACCTTCGAGGCGCGAGGCCCTTCGGACCGCGAGACATAGGCGGTGGCCCACGTCGTCCGTGCCTTACGCCGCCCTTGGTCATAGAAATGATGTAATTTGAATATAAATTATTTATAAATGCGTATGTCAAGTTATATTTTTATTACTACGTAAAATATATTTAAGAGTTTACCACCACTGTGCTGGGTGAGACGTTCTTGAAACAGAAAAAGTTATGCATTCCATCACGTACATAAACAGTGTCGTAATTCGCCAAGTGCAAATCAGCAAATTCGTAAAATTTTTGTTTATTTTGAACAATCCGGATAATAGAGGTCCGGATAATGGAGGTTCTGCTGTATTTGATTTATATAACTACGAATGTTATCTTACGCAAGTGTTTGAAACACCAACTGCCACGCAAATTTAAAAATTTTTTTAAATTGTGTACAATAGAGGAATAAAGAATTTTGAAAATGTGTTAGATAAGGGTTTATCATACCAAGTGGACAATCTAAGTTAACCTTTTTAGTTACATAAAACAAATACTATGGTGTAATAAATATTAAAACAAAAACCATATAAAAAGTTTGGTTATTTTGGATAACCATTCTCAGGTATCACTATATTAGAATGGTACTAAATGGCACAATTTCATTGGGCAAGTAGAAACCAATTGAAAATGTGGTAACTTAGATTTTTTGGTTCGTTCATTCACATAAAAAGACTTATTATCGAAATAATAAATGCTTCAGTGAAAACAGAACATCCGCTTTGTTATCAGATAAATCGAAGGTTTATTCTTTTATGTTTTCCAAGGCATTGAATTTAAATGATGATCACGTATAAAAGAAAATGACGTAGAAAAGATATACTTTAACATGCGTTTGGTAGTAACGCAAAATGAAAACGTATCGATTAAAATACATATTAAAATAATTTAAGATTAAAACGAAATACAAATAAAATTCAGGAAGTTCTCGTTACTTCGAAATTTAAGGGACCAAATAATCGTCATTTCAAATTATCGAGTTTTGTATTAACCGAGGTTTAAATATTTCTATACAATATGCCAAATGCCATGTAACTGATGGAATTTATTAAGCAAACAAGCAAGCCATGGCTACGAATAGAAAACAATATTTTCTTTAATTAATTAATTAATAATAATATAAATAAACTGCAGTTAAAGAGCACTTGTACAGTGAGAACCACAATGGTTGCCAGCTAGGTTTAACAGTTAAGGGAAAGCAGAATTTCTGGAAATGTAGTTCAACTTGAAAAGTTATGGCATGGTGGTACTTCGATGTAAACGAACGAGTTAACATACGCGTATTGTGACGATCCTGTCCTTGGGGTATGGCTCTTTTTCGCGTTGTGTTTAGGCGTGGGCAAAAACCATACATAGAAACAACCAAAAAACTTACAAATAAGGAAAACGAACACGTTGAAAGCGACGAAGATAACAAAAAATAATCAAAGAAGGCGTGTCGTAGGGCACAAACAAAAAACAAGCGTGTATCTGCCAGGAATCGAATTTGGGACCTTCCGCGTGTAAAGCGGATGTGATAACCGTTACACTACAGACAAATGCCAGATAGGCGGGACGGCATTTCTTCTTGAACCGATCCTGGGTCGTATTCAAAACTGTTTGATTTTCCTCCTTCAGACGTAATCGGACAGTTCTATTGGATATTTTCGTAAACATTCAAGCAGGCGGAAATAGCGGAAAGATGTCTGTAATCGTCGCACGCCAGAAAACGAATGCGAGATGTTTTTCTGTGAAAACGACAACGCGATTTATTCGTTGGAAATCACATTACCAGAAGATAAGACGAGCAAACGAATTTGCGAGTTAAATTTGCGATGAATCGCCATTGCCGAAGAGAAAACAAAATTCATCGGACGTGTGGTCTGGTTGTCGTGATGTTAATGAGTTTCCATCTTGAGAGGAAGAAAGAGTTTGTAAGAAAAGTGCCGGATTAACTACTGAATTTGAAATTAGCACAAGTTTGAATTAAATATTTAAGCGGACTTGAAAAAGTACCGTGGTCGAGACTGTCGAGTGCTTGTAGTGTAGTGGTTATCACGTCCGCTTTACACGCGAAAGGTCCCAGGGTCGAAACCTTCCCTTTTTTTTTTATCGTTTTGTTTGATCGATTGCGGTGCTTGCCAGGTTTCGAACTGGGACCATCCGCGTGTAAAGCAAACGTGATAATCTCAACTCGTTCTCAATTTCATTTCCGTTTGGTTGGAATTTCCTTTCCTCGCTCCGCGATTGGTCTCTTATCTGTCTGAAGGTAGAATTTGAGACCAAGTTAGGTAGCGAGAAAGATCTGCCCTAAACGGTTTATCCCACATCATCCTCTAGACTCTAATCATGATTTGTCGATGATTAAAACACCTGCGCTCATATTGCGTCTCATCGCTCCCTTTTTCTTATCGCGTTTTAAATTTTAAACCTTTTTTCTTCCTTTACTCTAAATATTGTTTTCTTCTATTCTTTATGAGAGACGATGTCAAAGTCCGGTGTCATCGTCTCGACACTTATGTTGCTTGTTTTCTCCATAAGTTAATTTAATAAATACACATTTCCGTTTTAATTATGGACCCAACCTCATCGAAACACGTGATCTGTGATAGATAGAAACGTGATTCGAAAGCACAATTGATTATAAGGTGCCGCATGTCGATCGAGCAAAGCGACAAAAATCTTCAAAACTGTGCTTGCCAGGTTTCGAACCTGGGACCTTCCGCGTGTGAAGCGGACGTGATAACCACTACACCACAAGCACTCGACAGTCACAACCACGGAACTTTTCTAAGAGCGCTTAAATCTTTGTACTAACTTTAATTACAGCACTTTTGTTACAAAATCCTCGTTATTCTCAAGATGGAAACTCGTTAACCTCGCGACACGTCGTTAAAGTCTGATGCATTTGTTTTCTCTTCAGCAATGGCGATTCCACGCAAATTTAATTCGTAAAGTCGTTTGCTCATCTTATCCTCTGGTAACGTGATTTTCTACAACGAAATTACGTCGCCGTTTTCACAGAAAAACATCTCTCATTCGTTTTCCGGCGTTCGACGATTACAGACAGCTTCCTGCTCTTGTCGCCTGCTTGAATGTTTACGAAAATCTTCAATCAAACTGTTCGATAACGTCAGCATATCTGAAGGAGGAAAATCATAGTTTTGTATACGACCCAAGATCGGTTTTATAAAAAGAAATGCCGTTCCGCCTTTCTTTGCAGGTGTCTGTAGTGTAGCGGTTATCACGTCCGCTTTACACGCGGAAGGTCTCAGGTTCGATTCCTGGCAGACACACACTCATTTTTTCTTTGTACCCCTTAAGACACACCTTCTTACATTCTGTTTTCTTCGTCACTTTTCAACGTGTTTATTTCCCTCATTCGAAAGTTATCTTCTTTCGCTTTTTCTCTCCGTATGGTTTTCGCCTACACCTAAACACAATGCGAAAAAGTGTAATATCCCAGGATCGTCACAAGACAAGAGTGACTATTTTTGAATGTAATTGTAATGTTTTGAATGTAATGTCGTATATAATGTAATACATTACGTTTTTTTTTCTTAACATTTCACTGCATAGCATTTTTTAAATGGTGTAAAGAAAAAATTGTTTGTTAAGTTGTTAAAATTATCGATAATGAGCCTAGNAATCATAGTTTTATATACGACCCAAGATCGGTTTTATAAAAAGAAATGCCGTTCCGCCTTTCTTTGCAGGTGTCTGTAGTGTAGCGGTTATCACGTCCGCTTTACACGCGGAAGGTCTCAGGTTCGATTCCTGGCAGACACACACTCATTTTTTCTTTGTGCCCCTTAAGACACACCTTCTTACATTCTGTTTATTTCGTCGCTTTTCAACGTGTTTATTCGAAAGTTATCTTCTTTCGCTTTTTCTCTCCGTATAGTTTTCGCCTACACCTAAACACAATGCGAAAAAGTGTAATATCCCAGGATCGTCACAAGACAAGAGTGACTATTTTTGAATGTAATGTCGTATATAATGTAATACATTACGTTTTTTTTTTTTTTTTTGTTTACATTTCAATCCATAGCATTTTTTAAGGAAAAAAAATTATCGATTTTATTACTACGTAAAATATATTTAAGAGTTTACGACCACTGTGCTGGGTGAGACGTTGTTGAAACAAAAAAAGTTATGCATTCCATCACGAAAGTAATGCATTCCATCACGTACATAAACAGTGTCGTAATTCGCCAAGTGCAAATCAGCAAATTCGTAAAATTTTTGTTTATTTTNACATTTCACTGCATAGCATTTTTTAAATGGTGTAAAGAAAAAATTGTTTGTTAAGTTGTTAAAATTATCGATAATGAGCCTAGATTAGTCCCATTAATAATAAAAAGGAAATCCTCATTTTATCATTAATTTTGTTACTTTTTATTATTATTATATTTTTCGAATTATGAATTATCTCTTCAACACTCTGGAATAATTTTCATTCGTTAAAATTTACTAATTAAACGCATTAAGTAAATTCTTAATGTATTCATTAATTCAGAATATACAGTAATTTTATTGTTTTTCCTCTCATTTTTCATCTTAATACTTTATTATAATTAAACATAAAAATATTTTCTTTCTTAATATTCAGTTTAATAAAATATTCTATTCTATAAATCTTCTGAATAGATTTCAATCTAGAGATTAAAGCCTTTTATATGACATTTAAAGTAGTTTAATGAATAAACTTTTTTATAGTAAATTTGCAATAATTTTTTAATTGTTTCTTGTATTTTAAATTCTATTCCTACAGGAACAAGCCTATGGTCCTGCTTGCTTTTTTGCTCTTTAATACTGCACTTCTTCGTACTCAAAAATTTATATAAAACAAGATTTTTTTCAAATCTTTAAATATTAAATTTATAAATATTAAAACTAGACAATAATTTTCGAATTTATTTATAATATTATATTTTCTACTAAAAAATATTTTCAAAGTTTACACTTCATACAAACTTTAGATTTTAATTTATAATTCACTTCATCCCTCTTCCTGTGATACAGCACTATAATTTCTTGGCACCTTTTAACTTCTAAGAAAAAAAGTGTCTTTGTCACAAGTTTAAATGTGTAGAAACGCCATAAATTAGCACAGTTTAACCGGTTATTAACACTAAATAACCACTATATATAATTAATTAGAATATATGCAATAGTTTTATACAATTAAACTAATTAGTGGACGTGCATTAAGTTTAACATTTTAAAACTTTAATCAGCATCCGAAGCTTAATGTTTAGTTGCTGATGTTATTAATTCAGATAACGTTAAAGGGATTTTAAGAATGATTATGGATAGATACAACTATCATAATTGATTAGTTTTACTTATTACTGATGATGACGCCAATGACAAATTTAGGACTTTAAAATTAACTCCGTTTGTCTATTTTTGGAATAAATTTAGTTTAGATCGACAAACACCATTTTTAAAGATAAAATTCCAGTTACATTAATTGTTTAAAGCTGCTTTTATAATGCATTAAAACTTTATATGAATGTATATTTACATGTATTTGTCGAATTGTAAATAAATAAGAATGCATAAGAAATGCTAATTCAAAATAAACAATTACTTTTCTGTTTATTAAATATTTTATAAATAATTCTGTATTTTAAAAAATTATTATTCAGATATAAACTTTTATTGATTTTTATATCATTTATATAAGTTATTAATTTGGATAATCTTTGAGAAGTCTAAGAATAAATTCAGTAAATTCAGTCATTTTAAAAATAAATTATACATTATTTTTATAATATGTATATGTTTAAGAATGATGTATAATTTATAATATATACTTTTATATTCTAATGAAATATAACTTTTATTATATATGTAGTATATTTACACGTCTATTTACATGTTACAGTATATGTATTTATGCATTTTGTAAAAATATAAATTTATATATTTTACTACACGTATAATAAAAATATGTAGTAAAAGGTATAAAAATGAAAATATTTAATTTTTTCATTTATGAACTATTTATATACATATAGATTTAAGTTATTTTTCTTTTCCATTATCGTTAGTCTTATTTTTCTTGCAATAAGACTTGCATTAATTTCATGCAAGACTTATTAAGTGCATTGTAAGAGTTATTTATACAGTATATATATTTAAAAGAAATTTATAATTACATAATTACTACATATAGTTGCAATTATNAAGGCAAAGATTAAAGAAGCGAAGATCAAATCCTGGCAAGATTTCTGTACCCAAAGCTCGAATAAGCCTTGGGGCTACATTTATAAAGCTTGTATCAATAAAATTAGACAGCCACAATACTTAACAACGATAAAGGATGGAACCACTTATACAGAGGGAATTGAGGGCACAATTATGACACTAATGAATGGGTTTTTCCCTGAGGATAACCCAGACGAGGATACAGAGGAACACAGGAGAATGCGAGAAGAAGTACAGAGTCAGTATCTGGGACTGCTAGACCCAGGGTTTACGAGAGAAGAGGTGAATAACGCTATCCACCGGATTAAGCCGGGGAAAGCACCAGGCAAAGATAAAATAGTGGCCGAAATACTATACAAAATCTGGGAAACTGGCCCTGGGTTTATCCAGGACTTATATAACGTGTGTTTAAAGTTCGGAACTTTCTCAAAGGTATGGAAAGTCGCAAAACTTGTGATTATACCTAAGGGCGATAAGGTAGATAAGAGCTTAAGGAAAAGTTACCGCCCAATAAGCCTGCTGCCGGCAATGGGCAAAGTATTGGATTTTATGGTTAGTCAACGAATATTGCAACATCTGGAACAGAGAGCGTTTATGAGCCCAAAGCAGTTTGGGTTTTTACCGGATAAAAGCACAGACGATGTAATTCACAAGGTTGTTGAGACCATAACAACTAAGCTAAATAATAAGAAGTATTGTTGCGCAATAAGTTTAGATATACAAGAGGTATTCGACCATACATGGTGGCCCCTTGTTTTAAGTACGCTAAGAAGAGCGGAATGTCCGAGTAACATCTATGAAATTGTGAAGGACTATTTTAAGGATAGGAAAGTGGAATATCAAGCAGGTGAATCATGCATTGAATACAATTTAAGTCGAGGGTGTCCACAGGGATCTAATTCCTGACCCCCTCTTCTGGAACATTGCATATGACAGCTACCTAAAAACTGACAAGGGTAACGATATAGCCGAGTTCGCATACGCGGACGATACAATAGTCTTTTTGGAGCAAATTCGAGAAGGGACATTGAGAACCAAGGAAACATACTATTGAACCTGATCTCAAGTAGGGGAAGGGAGCTTAAACTCCACTATAACCCCAGAAAGACAGTAGCGATTGTTTTCTCAAAAGGATCTACCCCGGATCTTTATAAGCGCACGCCTACCCTAAAGATGGAAGGTGAAAGCATCAAGGTGGAAAAGCAGATGAAGTATCTGGGGGTGATATTAGATCACCGTCTGACATGGCTACCACATGTTAAAGCTATGAGGAATGTAACAACAAACTTATTTAATGCATTGGCAAGGGTTGCTAAGGCTCATTGGGGCCTAAGCACAAATGCTTTAGCCACAATATATGAAGGGGCATTTATCCCCAAGATAACGTATGCTGCTGGGGTGTGGTATGCGGCAGCACAGAAGGTTGTAATTAAGAAACAAGTACGGAGTGCGCAAAGGATGGCTCTGTTGAGGTTGACAAGAAGCTTTAGAACGGTGTCAACAGATGCGTTACTAGTAATTGCTGGAACGCCACCCATAGACCTGGTGTTAAAGGAGAAGGCAAATTGTTATAGGTGGAGAAGAGGATTACCTCTGATACTAGATGACCAGATGGAAAGTATGGAATACGAGACAAAACCAAAGGCTACAATGCTACCCAAGTTATATCATAGAATGGCCATAATGACAGCAGCAGAAGGGGAAAGTAGTGAAATAAACATTTATACGGACGGGTCGAAGGTTGAAGACCGAGTAGGAGCTTCCTTCTTGGTCGAAAAAGAGGATAAAATTATACATTACGAGCAGTTCCGGTTGGATAACCGCTGCTCGGTTTACCAGGCGGAATTATTGGCTTTGTTACAAGCAGTAAAATGGTGTGCCAGTAGTCAAAACTTAAGCTCTATAATAATAAATACAGATAGCAGGGCGGCCCTGCAAACATTGCAACAATTTACAGATACAAACCAAATGGCTCTAGAGATGAAGACCCTAATAAGGGTAAATCATTTACAGATTAAGTTCAGATGGGTTAAGGCCCATAGTGGCATTAGAGGAAATGAAAGAGCAGACGAGTTAGCTAAGGAAGCTACACAGCTAGAAGAGATTACGTACAGTAAAATCCCAATATCATATGTAAAAAGGAGATTAAGACAAAGTACAGTAGAAATATGGCAAGAAGAATGGAGTAATGGGAGGAATGGTAGACATACTTTTTGGTTGCTTCCCAGTGTTGAAGAACGGACTAGAGAACTTAGATGGCTAACACCAAACTTCTATTTAACTCAGCTTCTGACGAATCACTGCAATACGAAAGATTATCTCAAAAGAATCAATAAAGTGCAGGATACCTTATGTGTGTGCGGAAACGGGATGCATAGTCTGGAGCATCTTCTGGAAGAGTGCAGTAAGTACGAACAGGAACGTCTGCAATTTCAGCTGCAAGCGAAAGACGTCATTCATACAAGTGAGATAGACCTTTATATGTGCCTCAGACACAGGGACTTAGTGCGGGAATTGCAGAACTTCACGCGGAGAATATTGTCGTGAAAGGGATACGAGTTATATCCTGGTATTGTAATCAAGTGTACTAAGTTTAAGGCAAGAGCCTTTTGTATATATTTGTTATTTTATTTTATTTATTGTTATAATTGTACAAGATATACAAGATAAATTGAATAAAGAAAAGTCTCCCTTGTTGTACGGATAGTGGGACAAGGGCGATGCTGATCCCCATTGGGGAAATAATGATTACCAAAATGAAAAAAAAAAAATGAATTCAAATGTGAATAACAATAAGTTGCCTCGACTTGTTCGATTATGTTATCAACTGAATTTCATATTTATTTTCACATTTTTACGTCCTTCACGTGTAAATAACGGAAAAAGAACAGAGAAGAACCGTGAAAATGTGAAAATAAATATGAAATTCAGTTGATAACATAATCGAATAAGTCGAGGCAGCTTATTGGCGCGAAATTCGCGGCCGTGAATGCCAAACAATTGTTGTCATAGACTTCGAAAAGCTAAATGCTTGTAATGAAAGTCACTTAGCGTGCACGGGCGAAAACCTAGGGCCGTTCGAGCTACCAAGCTGTCTCGAATCTGTGAAATCATAACTGTGACTTAGATAATTGACGAAACTTTGAAGACAACTGAAAAAATAGATGTAAATAGAGAAGGCATTTGTATTCTGTTACAAATTACGTTGCAGATTTTTCCCTTAAAGTATTCTCTTTCTATATGCTGCAAAAGGCATTTCCACGCGTTTTAAAAATTTTTGAATTGATGGCGTACGAGTGAGTAACGCAAGCAAAATCTGATTGATTAAATCGTTCGGTGCATTTCTTTCGTTCCACCAAGACCCCAACGCAGCAGGTACCTAGGGCCGCAAGCCGCACTCACATTTAATGTATTTAAACGATGATTTATATGTTTCGTTTCAATAACGACACCTTTCCCAATATAATCTGTACGATTTCTACAGAAATGTCGAAAATTTGCACCTGCTTAACACTCAATACAATCTTCGAATTTAATATATTTTTCTAAAAATAAAATGTGTCCTTCTGACTAAAAACACGCTGTCCCTTCGCATTAAAATTTACTGCATATTTAACGAATAACTCAAATATGTTTAGTAATAATATTTATTAAAATATTTTACAAATTTTAAAAATATTAAAATATCTATTATTAAGATTATTAAGAAAAACAATAACTTTAATTAAGAAATAAAAGAAATTATGAAGAAATTTCCAGAAAATAATTAATTAAATTTTTATCTGTGTAAATCTCTTCATCTTTATTGTACCGTTCTTTGTCACAATTGGTGCCATACAAATGATGGTCTAAAGATTTTTCTTCGTTAATCGACGTGTTGACCACCAACGATTAAACGTGCTTCGACATATCGCCATGTTTTGCCTTGTCCTGGCTAGGGATATTCCCTGGATATACTTTAAACGTTAAATGATATTTAATATTGTTTCTTTTATCACCGTGACGATTTATCGCCATTCGTCGTAAATATTATTGACACAATCGGGATGATAAATGACATTATCTTCTGAAAATGAGTAAAAGGATTTGTCGAAGTTCGTCAAACGCTGAGATTTCGTCGTACTTTGGAAATAATTTTATGCACAAATCACTCGAGTTGTTGTCTGAGTGGTGCGCATCTAAATATTCCTTCCAGTTTTTCTCGTCTCCAGATCTAAGACATTCCGTTGAAGATTGTATTAGGTTCAAGTCGGGTTGTCTGAGATCCATTTCACACTCGACTTTTTCCGGTAACATTCCTGGGTGTGAAATGTGGGTAGTTGGAAGTGTAATAGTTACTTTTGGCGGCTTCGTTTCGTCTTCAAATCTGACTTTTGCCGGATATTCGAAAAAAATAAATTCTTCTTTCACTTGTGTTTCTTTATCGTGTTTATATTTATTTCGACGAGAACGATTATTCTCAGATAAAGCAAGTTCCTCGTGAGTACTCAGAAGCGGTATCAGAAAATCGTTTTTGTCTTCTAATGGAGCTAGAATTTTTTTCTTCCTGGCAGGTAATGCACGACTTTTTATTTCAATTTCATCTTCCTGGTCGTAACATTGAATTACTTTTATTATAACGATTATGACAACGCAAACTGCTAGAAATGTCGCAAAGAAAGTAGTGATGTAGGAGAATGTTTTAGGTTTGACGATCCAGGAAAATTTGAAGTTGAAATCCTTTTTGTCGATTCTAAAACTTGTGTCAGTACCGTTTACAGATGCTTTGTTTTTTAATGTTCGATGTTCGTCATTCAAATCTTTGTATTTTCTAACTTTCTTTTTGTAATGTTTCTGGATATCAAATGTGGAGTAGTGTTTGTTCTGTGTATGATGCGAATTTCCAACGGTGATTTTATTGAAAATCTTCTGTAAAGGATCGGTTATTTTAGTATCCAGCTTGTCTGGTCTACTCAATCCATTTCTTTTGTATAATTGTTTTAAAATTTGCCATTTTCGCCTGGCTTTTGCAGACCTTTCATTCGATATTCCGTGTGGTGTGCTTTTGAGTCTCGTTTTGTTACTAGCCCCAACATCGAAGTTACAGAAAAGTTTTCTCGACAAAGTAGGCATTTCGGATGGATGTCGACTTTTCTTCTTTGCTTCTCTTTTCCGTGGATAATTATTGTCTCTGGCTCGAATATAAGTTTGTTTCGAAGTCTCTTTCGGTGTATTTGACATATTCCGGTATTTCGTGATGAAATTTCTGATTTCATCCTGTTTCTCGGATGGAATCGAAGCTTCTGCATTCTCCAATTCCTCCGCTGGGTAATTATGGTCATATTTGAGTAATGTAATTCCTCTCGAATCAACTGATAATTCGAAAAATTTCAACATAAACATATAAATTATGAATATCTTCATAATTTTAAACTTTAGCATTTATTTTATAAAAATATCGCTTTCAATCGCTTTGCAAATACCAACGATAATGAATCGTCTAACAATATTGAAAGATTAATTGTTACTGTAGCAATAAACAAATTTTATATTTTAAAAATTAATAAATATCATATGGAATGAGTTATAATTTAGAAATTTGATTTTTAATAGAAATATAAAGCAATAGAGCACTATCAATTTTATGAAGTAATTAAAGAACAAATTATAATATTCAAAATGACTGAAACGTCACACCATTAAAGTCTTTAACTGACACTGTATGAAAAAGAGACACAAATGATTAAAAGGAGAAAATATCTTACTGGACGTTGTACTTTTCGAGAGACAGGGAGGGGTAGCTGCCCCTAGAAGAAAAGTTAATGTGTATTAATTGACACACAGACACAAGTCGACCAATGCATGCGTCGAAGATAAAACTTCAGGCTACCAAAAAATGCAGTTGTATGTTTTATTATTTTAGCCTTAGAAAACAATCTTATTATATTATTTAATAACCTGTTTGCACAATTGGCTGATTTCTTATACTGTTTCTCAAATGCAAACTTTGGTGTCAATATCAAACTTCAGAATTTTTTTTTATTTGAACTTTCTCAATTCTTATTTGTCGATGAAAAAACGCATTTGTTTCTTCTGTAAATTAGCACCATTCCTAAATATCATTACTTAAGGTTTTTTTTTGGATTTATTTTCAATTTCAGCTTATCAAAATAATTTTTCACCAATAAAATCTTCCTTTTTAAAGCCGCAGCCGTTGGAGCAATAATCACTATGTCATCCGCAAAATCTATCGAATATATCACTTGCTTATCTTCTAAGAACTTATCGTTTTTATTTTCAAAACAACTATTTATATCGAATGTGTAAAAATTAAAAAGGTGAGGTGACCAAGAGTTTCTTTGCAATAAACGTCTGTATGAATCAAATGAAGACCAATGAGTATGACCTTGCTTTATAGTAATTTTATATTTGCCAAAAAGCACTGCTATAATATTTATTAAACATTCATCTGCTTGATATAATTTTAACTTTTTTGTAAGCCTGCAATATTTTCAGAATCGTTAGCTTTTATTAAGTCTAAAAACATAAAATGATCTCAGTTATGTACTCAGACATAAAAGCCTTAATCCTAGATATCTTAATTTATATGAATGTTTAACAAAATAATATACAGCATATGTCCACCCTGAAGTTCCATTCTAAATATTAGTGAAAGAATTTTTGAAATCAAATGAATAGTTTCGGAGATTACCCCTAAATACAGACTTACAAACATTACCTCTTTATATTAGTATAGATACAAATAAACGTAGTAAGAAAGTATACATTTTTTTTTATTTTTTTGGGGTCTCCAGAAGGAATTAATCAAATTCCCATAAAAACTTATGATAAATTGATAATGTGTTAACAAACAATTCAGATAGCGAACAAAGTCTTGGAACGGATTACGTTCGTTAACCGATCACCCACTGTATAAAAGAACAACTCATCTCCCAAAAAATTATTATTAAGCAATTTTTTTTAAAATCTCAAAAATTGACAAAAACATCAAAAAATAACTTTAAATTAAACAAGAAACTTAAATATTTAATACACCTGAAAACTTGTAGATTAAAAAGAACATCACCTAAAATAACAAAAATACAGGCATACAGTATGTACAGTACCTTAATGATACTAAACGTCCTGGCAGTGAAACTGCTAAAATGAGAAAAATAAATGAAAAATTGATCTTCCAATGACTACTTTTTAGATAAAAGAAACTTATAATTTCTATAGCGCACATATTTTAAAAAGCGAATAAAATTACTAGAAAATGGCAGATTTTATACCTTAAAATCGCATGCAAACACTGCTTTCGCTATGAAATTACCGTATTTTGACGAGTATAAGTCGCTGTCGAGTATGATTTTGAGCCCCAAAAAGTAGTAAAAAAAGTGCGATAAATACTCGTCAAAATACGGTACTATTGTTTTCACTGTTGCAATATGAGAGCAGTTCGTGTGGGGCACAATAAAATCTGCTAAAACCATAAAAATCTAAATGCAGTTACCTCAAAAACGATTCTTAGCACCACCAATATATTGAATGTGTGCATTCTAGAAATTTAAGGATTAGTTATAGAATCCAGTTGAGTTTCCAGAATCAAAATTTCTGGTGCTCGGCATTGGATGATTAAAAAAAAGAATGAAAAAATTGACTACCGAATAATACTTCCATTTAAAGCAGCATTATGCATACTTCATATGGTTTTCCTCTATGTATTTTATAGAAAAGAATGTTAATAGAATTAAATAATGGGCGTTGTTCTTATAAAAATATTTTTGACTTGCCTCTGAAATGGCTCCAAAACTATTGTTTGCTATTTTTGTGTGTTGGAATAATATAACAGTACACGTTCTTCAAAAACATTTATTTTAAATCAGTAATGTTACTCAGGTTTTTTCAAGCGTAATCACTGAGTTAGTAGGAATTGGCCCCACAAATAAACACAATGTCTTCAATTGCCCAAAGTCTACATTAAGTTACGCTATAACAAATAAGTAAGTTACATATCTAAAAGTGCTCTGAGTTTGTTTATTTCTTCTTTGAAGTCCATCTCGTAACTACATTTCCTTGAAAACCCAAAGTCTATGAAGTAGGGTTGCTTGGTGGTCCTGTGTAACAAAATATTCTGCTTCCTGATATCGCCATGCAAAACTCCGGCCGCGTGGATCTCGCCCAACGCCCGAACAATCGCTTCCTTTTCCTCATACGATGGGTCACACTTCCAGAGAGGATTAGCATCGAGTTCGTCTAAGAGCAGGGTGTATTCGCAACCATGTAAATAGCCACTGTAATGAAACTTTGGAACAACTTGACCTTGCAGGCCTCTCAACTTTTTGTAGATTTTAACTTCGTTCTGCAGTTCACAGAGGATGTCGTATTCTTCATCACTCTGCTCCTCATCAAGCCCAGAAATGCTTTTCGCTGCATACAGACAGGGCCGGATTAACCCACTTTAGGGCCCTAGACATTTTCTTCTTATCGGGCCCCCTCGCTCACAAGAAATAGAGCACACAAAAAAATATATAACAAAACTAAATAATGTGAAAAACTAAAACAAATCTTAAATTTTTATTACTGTAATAAAAAATATTTAATACACAACAATAAATTTTAGTTTTTCTAGAAAAGTTTAAACAGTTTGTTTATAAATTTAAAAAATTGAAATTTATTTTATTAAATGTCTAACAAAAGTTGTTATACAAAATAAATATTACCTTAAAATATTAATTTTCAACAAGACTGTGTCTTGTTTATAAAATCGTACTGCCTGCTGTGTTACCAGCTTAGAGGTATGAAAGAGTACATGTCAGGAGTTGCAATATGGCACAGAGTATTAAGTGCCAAAATCACGCGCGCATAAAAAAA